CCTCGCGGTTCCCCCAGGAGCCCAACACCTTTCCCGCGCGGCCACGATGATCCCCCCGAGCGGCGCCCGAGAGGACGGCGTAGACGGGCTACCCAAGGAGGCGGCGAGCGCCGAACAGCCGCACTCTCCTGCATCCACCAGCAGCCAGGAATCCAAGGTACCGCGCACACTTGCTCCAAGAGAACAGACTCACTCTTCCTCTCTCTCTGTCCACCTTTTCTCTTCCCACCTGGGGTTTGCCTGGTAGCTAAGACGCGTCCATAGTTTGGCCTGGGCTCGAGGACCGGCCGTGTCTTGAGACTTGAACGTCCGGTAGGACCCACTGCTAAAGATGCTGGACCACGTCCCGTGGACCCAGTCTTTTCTCCCGCACAGACAACAGCCTTTACTCTACTCTGGAACCACACACAGTTCACATAGACACGAGTTCAGGTGCGGGCAGAAAGGTCCAGGTTGTTTGGTGCTTTGAACCTGCTTATATGCACCCAAGCTCTTGTAGGCATTAGGTGACTTCTGGCTTCTGGGGTGGAGATAGTCCGTGATACTTCTCCAGGAAACCTTGGGCACTGGGCCAGCAAGGAGTATCTTATCCCCAGGGTCTCAGAGACCCTTTGCTTCACAGGGGCTATCAATATATTAACAATAGTAAAAACTAGAGAAATACTGACTGCACTCGTGAGAAAGTTGGTGTTTTCCTTGTAAGTTAATACTCTAGAACTTACGTTTGTCTTTGTAAGAGTCATACTAACATCTATACACAAAACCAACTCCACAGCACTTCTGTCTCTGTTACACTTCCTCTGAAACTCGTGTGGGGTGCCAGGCACATGTTTGGAAAGCTTGGAAGAGGATCAAGTAAAATGTGTCTGCTAACAGAGCGATGCCAAATGGCAACTCAGCTGGTAGTGAAAATCGTAAGATGGAGTTTGTAGTTACATGGATTTTTGTGAGGTGCAGCGCTTCTGGTTCTTTTGTGCAGATTTCCTTGTGAGTATCCCAGGCATTTTTGAAGTATGAGACAGACCTTGTTTAGTAGCAAAGAAAAAGAGGATGCTAGTTTAGAGGGCAAGTTAGATGGGACCATAAAAAGTGCAGCTCCGTCTCCCTACACACCCATCTCTGGAAGCTACTGACCATATTAGCAGCATCAAAATCACAAGCCAAGCAGTTTGGTGTGATGGTGGCTACCATACATGTTCCAGCTTCCCAATGTTAACCATCTAGGATGGTGATCTAAGACAGAAATCTTGCTTTCATAATTATCTTTTTTTTTTTCTGTTAATTGCTGGCTTTCTGACCATGAGCATGAGCACTCTTCTAAAATTCATCTGGAAGTGAGGACAAAAGTCTCTAACTTCTAAGATCATTGTGAGAAATACAGGAGACCACCAGGTTTCCATCTTGGTACAGCATAAGTTTTTATCATTTTTCCTTTCTGGAATAAGGAAATGAAATCCATTACCCCTCAGAGGATCCACTCTAAAACAGTCTCAGAACACATACACACCCTACCTCTCTTCCGTCTGGACGTTAAAGGGGTTTCACATTGTCCAAAGCTATCAGTCTTTGAAGTGATATGATGTAATGGCCATTTCAAAGATGATCTAAAATTCTTTAAATGGAGCTAAATGCAAGAGTGAAAGTGGTATTAAACTTTTTTTAACTGGGCCTGTTGCTCGGTATGTTAGCATTTGGATAAATAGCATGGTTCAAATGCACTATATGAAGTTGCTATTCATAGATGTCCTAATGTAAATTATTTGGCAAAGCAAAAATTTCCTATATAATGCCCATAATTGTCCACCAATTTATCTGGCTTATTTCAGATGTGTAAAGTCAGTTTTTGCCAAAGTGGTCTACATACCTGCTATGTATTTGCTGTCATTGCTTAGTCATCTTGAGTAAGTGGAGAAGAACAATGGACGCACCCCTGAACCCCAGGACATTGAATAAAAATAGTATGCCTGAATATTAATATTCCATGACGTAGCATTCATGATATTTTCAAAGGGCACATGCCCCTCAAAAAAGGGTAAACTACTGGTGTGGGAAGAGAGCTGGGTGGCATAAAACAGAAACAGAGAAAGGATGTGTTCCTCCTTTACCTGGATGACCACATTTGAAAGCTCATTGGCATTAAGGAGGATCTTCCACCCTGAAGATGAGAGCACAGTGGGGAAAATATGAGCAAGACAGTAGGAATCATTCCACTCTACTCTCCTGGGAAATAGTCTGTTTGTCAAAATATATTTATTTCAACATAAGTAAGAGTAAATTTCAAACCTATCATCACTAGAAATGTTAATTAAGTGAGGTGCTGGATATGGTCAGTAGCTTGATTTAATTATTCCACATGGTGGTTGTATACATACAGTAAAATATCACATTTTGCTCTATAAATGTAATGCAATCATTATGTCACTTACAAATATTAATAAAACTTGTTGGTTTTGTTTTTTGTTTTTTGGGATTTTTTTTGTACCAGGGATCGAATTCAGGTCCTTGAGCTTGCAAGGAAGGTGGCAGAACCACTGAGCTAAATCCCTAGCTCAATAAAACTTTTTTTAATGTACCTCATGGAACAAACATGATTTAGGCCATTCTGGGCATTAAACTCTCTCAAGGAAGACTTTTAAAATTACTTTTCTTAAAAATGTATTTTTCAGGGGCCTGGGGATTTAGCTCAGTGGTTCCACCACCTGCCCTGAGTTCAATCCCCTGTACCAAAAAAAAAAAAAAAAAAAAAAAAAAAAAAAATATAATTTTTCAATGTAAGATTCACAAATATTCTGTGGCTATTTGAAAAGTTCAAACTAAAATAAAGAAAATATATCAACCATGGGTGCACAATTCAGACGCAACTAATGACAGCATTTTGATTTATATTTTACATCATTTTCATCTTTTGATATATTCACATAATTGAGAGAACAATAGTGAGCATACTAAATGCTTCCTAAGTAAGTCAGAGGTCACCTTAATCTTCAGAATAGGAGATTCTGTTATTATTCCTATTTTTTGGATAGAGAAGTAGAGTCCCAGAAAGGTTAGACCAAGACCAAGAAGCTCAGAACCTCTGAACTTTCCTGCCACTGTCATTCACACTTGTGCACCATTTCACATCAGCCCCTTTTCACTTGATGTCCTAAGGATTTTACACACCACTAAATGTCATTCACAACATTGGTTGTGTCTTCTTGTCTTAAATCTTTGGAAATAAATTGAGCCCCATGACCATGTAAAATGATTAGTAACCAATCCTTGCCTAGCTTCTTTGTATTTACTTGGGAGCTCTTTCCCCTAAAGTTATATTGTAGAAGTAATTAAACTGAGTATCACAGAATCATCTAGAAAATGGTACCATCACAAGCCCTCTAGTGCAGAGGACCTACAGAATGTCATAAAATATAAAAAATGTCCATAGACTGTCTGACTCCATAGAAACACAGAAAGTATCCCTGAACGTAAAACGAGTTGCTAAAATATCTCCAGAAGTCCATTTACTTGGCAAATTCTTTGAAATGCTAAATCAGAGTATTAAAATTAGAAATATTGGGAGATCATCTATCCCAGGTATTTTTTAAATTGTGGGTCATTTTAATTGTGTAAATTTATTTTATTGTGGAAAATTTCAGTACAGCCTAAAAAAGAAAAACAGTATGAATAATCATCATAGACCCTCTCACCCAACTTCAGTAATGAGATTCATAGGAAACATGTACTGTATTATTTTACATATTATCCCATCATGATCACCACTGTCCCTTCCCCATACACAGGATCATTTTTTTTTAGCAGATTCCAGCCATACAATCATTTCAACTGAAAACATTTTAAGTTGCATCTCTTAAATATAAGGATTCTCTTTGAAAATATGACTACAACCCCAGGAGTATATATTATAGATGTTTTAAATCTAAAATCAGTGTATTTGGAGGTTCATGAGTGGTCTTCAGAAAAATCTGTGAATAAGAGAACTAGCTGTCGAAATTGTATGTGTACTTGCATCTATGCATTCTTTAAGGAAGGAATTTATATCTTTTATCAGATACATGAAGAGTACGTAGCTTTCAGTTCTTATTTCAGTTATTGTTGTAATGTCTTTTTCTCCCTCCCTTTTTCTCCTGCCTTTCTCTCTCTGAAACTGGGGCCCACAGAAGGACAATAAGTTGTCTAAAATTACACTGATAGTTATTAGCAGTATTCCTGTCTTAGAACCCTATTATACACTCTGAATATCCTAGCACAATTTTCTCAGACCAAATTCCTTGTAGCACACATAGTGGTGTAGTTAATGTAATTGGGGTTTTTCTTTCTTATTAGATGCATTCAAAAAGTTTGAAAGACACTATAATGTAGCTCACTCCTCTCTTTCCACTATTACAGAAAGACCGTAGTCTATAAGTGCTGAACAGAGATCACTGAACCAAAGAAAAAAGCCATATTTCAGTATCCCTTATCTCAATAAGTGTCTGTTTTCCTACTGATCTCCTGAAGGTATGGAAAGCTTTGTGGGATCTAACGTGCAGGTTTGATGTGAATGTACTTTGCCATCACCTATAAGACCAAAGGTCACATTCTGATGATGTGGGAGGATTACAGAGGTCAAACAGACAGGCTTTGAAATGTCTTCTAACCAGTAGCCACCTCTGTGAGGCTAGTTGCTCAATGTTTTCTCATCCCTAAAACAGGAATACAAATATCCAATCAGCACAGCCTCCAATTGTAATACTTCAGAAAGTGTAAAACTGCAAGCATGTGTAAATTAAAGCACTGTCTATATTTTCTTCTGTTTTCAAATCAAAAGACTTCCGTCACTTCCTAACACCAAATACCACCATTGGAATAACTTCAGTCACCACAACTGACATTCCCTCCTGTTGTAGAATATTCTTTCCTGAACTTGTAGTTGGGCGATTTACTTCAGGGAGATTTCATCTTAACTATTTTGCATCCCCCGTACCCTGCAACATGTGACTTAGTTTTTTGAAAGTGTGCTGTAAGTCATCCACTGCCCCTTTGGAGCTGTGAACCAAGGTGCCCTCTGATTCCTGAAAGGTACTGTCTGACATAAGATCACCACCCAACCAAGAAAAAAAAGAAGCCCTGAATCTCTCAAAAAGGTTTCTATGTCAGTCCATCAGCAACTATTTATTT